AATTAAAATTAAAAAAATTAAAAAAAAAATAAAAAAAAAAAAGAAAAAACTTCTTGCTAGAAGGACACTTACGTATAAACAAAATTGTAGTAAAATAACTTGCCAATTTAAGAAATTTGGTAAATTTTGCCGCTATATATCACGCAAATCTAAAAAAAAGAACACTATAAAAATAGGAATAGAAAACCAAAACTCTATTTAATTATTGGGAAACACTACAATCCCGTGAGGGAATGATTCCCTCAAATCAATATAAACCATTAGATGTGTTAGTTTTTATATGGACTCTTAGATGTAGTAGGTTTTATATAAACTCTTACATGTGTTAGTTTTTTATTGGACTTTGATATGAGAGAATGGTCTCATTACGGGATTGTAGTATTTTCCTATAATAGATTCATAATCATATTAGAAGACTGATTGAAGAAGTTTTTGATTCTTATTAAAAAACTAGTACAACACCCGTGTATTACACGGCTATTTGTTAATTTTTTTCTTAAAATATAAAATTAATGAGAAAAAGTCGTTTGAAAATTTGAATACCTTTTATAAGAATATATATATTATTATATATTTATTATGACACTTTTTATTTGTGCAATTTACTTGTGTTATATTATACTAATTTTTTTAACTATAACTACATTACATATAAATATATCAATTGAAAAATAATTTTATTTTTCTAATGAATTTTAATAAATATTATTATTATTTTTTATTATTATAAAGATAAGTAAAATTTATTTATTTCATATATATACAATTTGGATGTCAAATCGAAGATCATCAAAAGATGATTAATTTGATATATTATATATGTAAAACCGATAAGAAATACAAAAGTTATCAACTTTTAAAATACATTTATAATTCAATAGCTTATTGAAGGAAACAAATCAAAATTTAGGACATATTAGTCACTTAGTGCTTCACTATGTAAAATTAAAAAGAATTAAAGCGTTATATTAGTAAAAGTGATATTAAAATACCTAAATTAGTTAAATAGTATTTATGGAATACCCGAACCTAGATTATTAATTATTAATATATCAATATTATTTATCCAAACCTAATTACGAAGCATGATTATTCGCCAAATAGGATTCCGAAGCACCAGAAGCAGCCACGTAGGCTCAGCGCATTCTGTAATTATATATAGGGAGGATTGAGAAACTCATGTTTTAATAAAACTCTTGAAAATAAAATAAAATAATAAAAAAAAAACCGCAGAAAGAGAGAAAAATACCTCCAATCCGTAGGACCGTAGCAATGGACGAATGGCTTGTTTCGTGTTGTTTACGAAAGGCTTGTTTCTTGTTTGTCGACCGAGTCATGCATATGGTTGTTGGCTCGCGAGGGGGTCGGCCAGGAAATGCAGGCTCTCGGCGTTTCAGTTAAACATCTTGCGTGCAAACAAGAAAGTGAGGACCAAGCACTAGTACTTTTGGGGGCACGATTTGGAGCAAGTGTTTGTAGAAACTCTGGACGAGCAACAATGGCAGCTCGTGCAGTGGACAAAGCTGGGGGAGTTGCGTAAACGATGGGAATATTCGCCTTAGATTGAAATGGAGATGTTAGAATGTTTCTAACAGACCCATAGTCAGTATGATGAGTTAATAAGATTGAAATGGAGACGTCAGACAACACTTTTCTATTCACTATATATTTCTCTTATATTTAAGCTTTTCGTGTGATGTCATATTAGGCTGCAATTAAGTATATACAGTTTAACAAAAAGAACAAAAGTGCTGCACAAATATAAACAACCCACGGCTCTCGAGTCGAGATCGAACAGTTCTATTCTTTTGACAAGTCGAGCCCTCTGAACCATGGCTCGACTAGCTCGAGCTAGCTCAAGAAATTTTCATTGCTCGATCAATAAGACTTCAATTTGTTTGTAGGCCTATTAGTATTAAATGATCAAATGTATTTAGATCAAAGGATATTCAGTAATTTACTATTCTAAGAAGGTAAAATTCAGTAATACATAGTAATAAATCACAAATCCTGCTAAAAAAACAGTTCACATATACATCTCATAATGTGGAGATAAGATTAACACACAATATACAACCAACTTTATTGAACACAAGTACTTAAACCATAAGTTTAAACATAACCTAATAACTCAATTTTTAACCAACTTCTTCAAAGTATTCTTCACAATCCATACTTCAGATATTATCATCCCTCATAAGACGACTCTTCATTGCGAATGAAAAACAAGCCCTTGTGCCCATCATTAGGCAACAATGCTAGCCTAACCGGACCATTCGCGCCTTCCTCCACAGTCAACACACTAGAATTGTAGTTGATATCGGTCTTCACATACCCGAGGCACACGCAATTGATCCGAAAGTCCGTGTGTTTTCGGGCCAGAATCCTTGTGTAGGCGTTAAAGGCTGCTTTAGAGACCATATATGAACAAAGGCCACTTTTGGGCCTCTAAGCACCCTTCTTCGAAGTCTTTGCGACTTATGACTTTGTCGATTTTCTCTTCCGTGAGATTTTCTGGGTCGTTGAGTACCATTTCAGCCCATTCGTTCGGTATATACTGAAACTGAACGAAAATCGTACGAAATATAATAAACCTCACAACGAATTAGAAAGTCACATACTACTAATTACACGTCGAGACAACAAGAAAGTTGCAATTTTTCAAATCGAAAGCAATTCTTTGTTTTGCTTTTTTGTTCGAAAGCGGAACATATGATACGTGCCTGAAGCTTGCTGATTAAGAAAGAAACATTAAACGATTCTTGGCAAGTCGGACAACTGAAGCAGAGGAATGAGTGCTTCTGTAGTACTTTTGGCGCCGTAATAGTTTGTCTGAATACATTCTACTGATTGGTCATAGGTTTGTACCATGTTCAAGTCATCCCAATTGAGATTTGGTCCAAACTAGAAAAAAAAAATAAAAAATTGAGAAACTGCCCAAGATTTGAAGTATTTATAGAAAAAGCCCAGTTAATTAATATTTTTTTTTTTTTTTCAAAAACGATAGGCATCTCATATAACTGGAAAGAAATACAAAGTTCAGAATACAAAGACGAATAAAACCGCATGAAATGGGAGACCTCTCAGGCGAGATCTACATGCCAAATGCTAGCATAGGCAGCTCAAGGCTGGAATCCTACACTAGAAAAATACTAAGAAACCAAAACAGATGAAAAACTGTCACAAGGACCTAGATCATCATTAACCAAAGAAAGACTAAATAGAATTAAATTCGAGCCATTCCCTGATAGCTTGTCGAACTAGACATAGCTCAGGGATATTCTCTTTTTGAAACACCCAGAGGTTGCGCG